TTCAAAAGACACGGAGGATGACAGTGCGGATGGGAAGGACAAAGACAACAAAAGCACTGAGGCCGCCAGCGACGCCAAACCAAACGACGGGAATGAAACGAAGGACGAGGCCGCAGTTGCAACGCCGGAAATAGCAACGACAACTCCCGTTGGAAAGGAGGAGGCACCAGCAGCTTCTGCAGAGAAAGAAGACGGCAGCAAGGAGGAGGAAACCGGCACCATCGAGGGCGACGCCAAKGACAAAGAAAAAGAAGACAAGCCAGCCACACCAGCGATCGATGGGAAYTATGAACCGAAGTCRGAGCTGGTCATGCAAGCCGAAGAGCACGCGAAGAACAACAAGGACCAGCCGGCTCCATGTGACACGGCCGTCCGTCCCAACAACAAGGACGTCCTCTTCGGCCGCGGAAAGCCCTTCCAAAACCATCCGGGCAACCGGAAGATGCTGGGCTTGATAGATCAGTACAAGCGCCAGTACAACGAATCACCCCGGGACCAGAAGCGCCCCATCGTGGAGGAGATCATCGGGATCCTCACGAGGGATGGCGGCCGATTTCTTAGGCGCTACAACGAGGACACCAATTCGACCTGGTGGACAGAGGTTCCCAAGCAGGTCGCCTTTGACAAGGTCAGCCACGCCTTTCGCTCGAGGGGACGGYCCAAGGCCTCCGATGCGGCGTCGGCCAAGGCCTCGCTGGCACAGGCYCGCGCGGCGGCGGCGGCAGCGGTGGGGCAGCACACGCAAATGCACCATCCCCRCCACCCGCAGCAGCCGGCCCACCACGCTCCGCAGCATGGTCATCCCCAGCCACCGCCCCACCAGTACTACCATCCCCACCACCCGGGAGCGCCACACCACCCCCACCATCACCCRGGTCAGTATGGAACCCCGCCCGCGGGGCAGTTTGTCACCGGACAGTTCGGACAGTACGGGATGCCACCTCCGGGAACGGCGGCTGTRGCTGCAGCCGCGGCTGGGTTCAATCCGATGATTGCGGCCATGCAGCAGCAACACACACAGCACCACGCCAATCCAATGATGGGGTACCACCCCATGCCGGGTGGAATGACACCCCAGCAACAGGCGATGATGCAAGCCGGCATGATGGCGGTCATGCAGCAGCAACAACAACAACAATCGGCCGCCGCTGCCACCGCGGGTGGACCACCCCCGCCGCCCCACCACCCRTCGCCCTATTCCTATTCGCAGCAGCACCCACCGCCAAATCCCTACGCGTATTCYCAGCCRCCACCGATACCSGGCCAGGCAGCAGCGGCGGCGACGTCCCCCTCGTCGGCCTCCGGRTTTTCGCCAAGCGCRGCGTACGCCCAGGCGGCGGGAATCGCCGGGGGATTCGCGATGCCACCCCAACAAACCCAGCAAGCCGCACAGCAATCGCCGGGGGGGGCTTCCGAGGCCGCTTCCGCTCACCACCCAYCGTCCACCGCACCGGCGGCCCCTGCTTCCGATCGAGCCAATGCTGTCCCGGGCGGATCGGCCGCATCGCCCRSCAGTAAGCGGGAGGGAGACACTGGCAACAACATTGAAGTCTAGTCCAGGGAGGAATGCAGATAGATGTGCAAACCAACGAGCTAGCTGTTGCGGAAAGGGATTGCCAGATGAAGCAGGGAGCGAGCGAATAAGCCAACCTTGTTTGATACGGTAGGTCCGCTACGGTATTTACAGCTGTTGCGGTGTCGATTGGAGAGGGGAAGGGAGGAGTGGGGAGGGGAGGGAAATTAAAGTTTCCAACAGTACAGCGATGTCGAGTATTTGGATTGCAAGAATCGCGACCGAGAAATGATTGTAGATTGGATTCACCCAAAGATTGAAATACCACAATTCGATGCATGTTAAAACTAAAACTAATATGTACAACAACGAATACCACTACTAGCAGTCATGTTTTTTCACAACAATTGAGGTATCGTAGTAGTGCAGTATATCGTGTCGTACTGCGATGTACATGATGAAATGTTTCTTTAACAAAACCTTGATAACAAGATAGATTCCATGTTGGTCAAAAGAGAGTCGTGGATAGCTTGTTGGAAACCTGATATGGATTTGTTTGTGGGATGTGTCCAGAAGCAATATATTCTTGTCGTTATGCCATTTGGTGAGTTGGGCTGCGAAACTATTACCTTGTGGTTGCTTCTAGATCTGTCCTGCAACACTCTTCTGATATTTTTGCCTGGTTTTGATGATCAAACTATCACCACAAGCATGCAAGGTGAAATCATCCATCCACTCTGCCTCAATTGCCTTACATGGGTCCTCAAGCCTACTACTAGTACTATTACTAGTAGTAGTATCCCTTGAACCATGACAGTTCTGACAGAAAACCATCAGGTTTGGTGACACCATGGTCAGTCTAGCCGCCTAGTGATTTTTTTTTCTTGAACGCCGTTACACGAACAGATGAAAGAAGTCCAAAGTTACAGATGCTCTTGCACCGTACAGTATCGGTCTGTACACTGTACAAGGTAGCGGTCTTTGGTCCCATACATACGGTACATACATATGATTTTCACATGATACTCGTACTGACGATTAATGACAATAGAATACCGTACAGTGTCATTCGTTAATACTTGTACTATTCGTATGAGTACGTACCCGGAGTACCAAACTCCAAACTCTCCAACGGACGAGTTCGGTTCGGATCTGTTCTCACGTCTCACGTGTCGCGTCCTAGTGTAACGTACTATATGTACGATACGTACGGTAGMGAACAGCAACGAACGTCATTCACAACTCACGCTTGCTTGCTCCTTTTTTTTGGAGAATCTACTGTACATGCCGTACTGTCTGGCACGATTTTTGGATCCTCTCCGCTGCATTCCCAGTTCGGTTGAAGCGTTTTGCGAAGAATCGAATCATCCCCGTCATTAGAGTATCGTTCATCATCGAGGTCTACTCGCAGTTCGAAGTTCGCAGTGCAAAGTTCGAAGTTTAGCGGTGGAGTATCCAGTCGAGTCCAAATCGGCATTGTACCAATCTAAGACGAAAGGAAACAACAAAAACACGACAAAAMCCGAAAAGCACAAACAACATTTTCACATCGCAATCTACCCGTGGTCGAACGCAGAGCAAACCATTGATACGAGAGACATACAAAATCGAGGGAAACACAAAACRCAAACACGTACCACATATTACACCAGAAAAAATGGCCGACTCAACCCCAATGTATGTTTCTGTTCCGCAAAGCACGTTCCTGTGGCTGGGCAATACCCGCTGGAGACGTTGCTTTTGCGTGTGGATGATGTTGGTTTGCATTGCTTTGGCGACGACAACAACGACAACGAATAGCGGCCTCCCGGTCGTCGAAGGATGGCAACCTCCCGTTCSGCATCCTTCTCGAGCGAATCCTCGGTACGGAAGGACCGATAGCAGTCGCAGCGGCGTCGTTGCATCTTCGTGGTTGTTTTGCCAATCGTCGTTGCCGTTGTCGTTCTCGCTATCGTTGTTCACTCATTCATCGTCGTCCTGTGTTGTTCGTCGCGATCGCCATTGCCGTCCCCTCTTTTCCGCATCGAACGATAATGACAACGACAAATCCAAAAACATCGATTCCGATTCGAACACAAACAACAACCACGGCAACGACAGCCAACCGATCGTCATCGACGGCAAAAAAACGGCGGCGGCCATCCGAGCCGAGCTGGCGGAGGAAATCAAGAACCTSCAGGCATCCCACGGGATCACCCCGGGGTTGGCGGTTGTCCTAGTGGGCCAGCGCGTCGACTCGGCGACCTACGTCCGCATGAAGAAAAAGGCCGCGGCCGAGGTCGGCATCCACTCGATCGACGTGGTTCTCGAGGAAACGATCTCCGAGGACGCTCTTTTGGAGGAAATCGAGAAGCTCAACGCCGACCCCGCCGTCCACGGAATCCTGGTCCAGCTYCCTCTCCCGGACCACATGGACGAAGCCAAGGTGCTCCGGGCTATCGATTAYGCCAAGGACGCCGACGGCTTCGACGCGGTCAACATCGGAAACCTGTGGCTACGGGGCGGCGAACCCCCCCTGGCGATCCCGTGTACTCCGGCGGGATGCATCGAGCTGCTACAGCGCTATAACATYCCCATTTCGGGCAAGGAGTGCGTCGTGCTGGGGCGGAGCAACATTGTCGGCATGCCGGTGGCGGCCCTGCTGCAGTCCTGCAACGGGACCGTGACGGTCTGCCACTCGCGGACCGCCAACATCCCCGAAACCGTCAAGAGAGCCGACATTGTCATTGCTGCCATCGGAAAGGCCGAGTTCGTCCGCGGGGAATGGCTCAAGGAGGGGGCTGTCGTCATCGACGTTGGCATCAACGACAAGCCCGACCCGACCAAGAAGCGCGGCTACCGGCTGGTCGGCGATGTGAACTACCAAGAAGCGGTAGATGCGGGGGTGTCTGCCATTACGCCYGTTCCCGGCGGCGTCGGCCCCATGACGATCGCCATGCTCCTCAAGAACACGGTGAACCTGTGCCTGCACTCGAAGGGTCTGCCCCGTCTGCAGCTCCGGGACCGGACCCTCGACGGGGATTACAAGGCAGATGCATCCAGCAAGCTGGTGAACACCTCGACCACGAAGTAACCATTTGGCCGAAACAAAACAACGACGGAACGGCTTCTGTGTCCGTRCAGAGGGCGCTCGACCCATCCACGCCACGGTTACGGTTACGTGGTTTGGTCCCACTTGGCCCCGTGCCAAGAGAATATAACGTGAGCTGGGTACAGAGTAGTACAATCCACCAGAACAAAAAGCACCAATGTGTTAAGATAGCTTGCTGTATCGCCAATTTTTCATAGATGTGTTTCGTAGATTTCTAGACCACGTGACGCGGATACTCGAGAACAAAAACGGAAACGAAAGTACGAAGTACGGCACTTCTGTAACTTTTAGGTCCTGTCGCGAAACATAATGAGACGACTCGGGATGAAAACAAAAAGTCTATTCACCCATGCCAAGCTACCTGTATCGTCAGAAAGYGTCCACATGATAAGGTTTTGAGGGCCACAAAGTCCCTGTTCCTACCGGTAAAAATACCAGTGCTTCAAAAGCAATAGGAAGAGAAGCTATAAGAACCTTGGTCGTAAGGATCAAGCCAAGACCAAAATGCGACAAAATCCCCCTAGTATTCAGACAGCAGCATGGTCCATCGTGTGATATGGCATAGTATGAGCCCCCCCTTCAGTATCCTTCGTGCAGATTTGGAGAAGGTGTGTCCTCAGTTCATCTCCTCCTTTGCAGCATAAACAAGAATCACAAACAAATTCTTGTTCATATTCTCATCCTTTCTTGTTGTTGTCTTGCTGTTGTTCTTATTCTTGTTCTCATTCCTGGTGCTGTTGTTGTTTCTTTTTTGTCGCTCTACAAATGGCGTTGTTCTTGCCTTCTTTGAATGGTTTCATCACCATCAGCCATCCTCCTCCCTTCCAATTTTCCAGCAGTAATAATTATTCCAGTAGTAATACCGTCAAAGTTAAGGTTCATATTATGATGTACAGTTCGTACGTTTGTACCTACATAGGAATAGTACATCGTAACGAACGTACGAGTACGTACCGTACATACGTATCGGAACTGTCGTTTTTGTTCGTTAGAGAAAAATTCAAATTCTTCAAATCCAAAACCAAATTCACTGCTCACCCCCACGCACCATCCGATTAGGCGCAAACTCTCTTTGGTATCCACAGTCACATTCATATTCACATTCGCAATCGTAGTGGCAGTCGCAGTGGCATTGGCAGTGGCATCGACCGATCTGGCATTGATCAGGATGAATACAACTGCGTCAGTTCCAAACGGAACCAATGGAACCACAAGCACGAGCACGAGCACGAGCAGTGCCAATCATGCTACAAGAACTATTTTACGAATCAAACGGCGGCGAACGGAGCATCCGATCCCTTGCATTCGATTGGAGGGGCTAGTGGACAATCCCGGTGCTAGCGAAGTTTCTGCCACGGGAGGGAAAGTCTCGCGAAAACGACAGCAACACGAGGAAGAGGGGGAGCCGTCCAGAGAGGCATCTAGGCGTGCTTCTTCCTCCAAGCGCTCTTCGGCGGCCATGTGGAAACGGGTGTTGCACGACGACAGCAACGAAAACAACAACGACGGCAACGGCGCTTGGAACGCCAACGACAACAACACCGGCAGCTATCGGATCGTAGATGCCGTCTTTACGAATACGAATGCAAATACGAATGCGGGCCGGACAGGGGAAGCGGGTGAGGGCTTTGGTGGTGGCGAAGCTGCCAACGGGCCCTCCTCGAACAAGCGCCGGAAGCTCACCCTCCTGGATTGCTCCACGGTCGTCTCCGAAGAGTCCCCGCTGCTTTGGTCCCTGGSCAAGAACCCCGCCGAGCAATCGCGCACGCGYACCCGCCGCAAGGCACCGCTCAAGGTCCTGGATCCCTGGACCCGGATCGTCGACGACCAGCTCCGATCCGTTCAGCAGGGCACAACCACGCCCGAGGCACACTATCGCCAGCTGACGACGGATCCGAAATTCACYTTTCGAGACAGCGTGGAAAAGYGCAGGTACCTGGGGTGGAGGCTCGAGGACGGGACCAATCTCCTSCACTGCTGCGCCCTGTGGAACGATCCCTCGACGGCCAGCGAGGTCCTGCGAACGTGCGGCCAAGGGTCCTGGACCAATCCCGCGAGCGCTTCCAACGCAAGGTYGGAGTGGATGGAGCAGGTGGATGGAGACGGTCGGACCCCATACGAGCTGGCAAAGCTGATTGGGCACGACCGGGTCTGTGAGGTTCTGGAGGTGTACGGTGGAGACACCAGCAATTACGTCTACGATGTSTTTTATTTGGAAAACAACGACGACAGCGACAACAATGTGCACGAAGCATCGAACGGCAATCCCGCCGGTAGTGGTGACGGTGGTACCATCAGCGAACCTCTCGGATACGTTGATGCTTAYGGTAACAACAACATCCTGACGGCCGAATTGTCTAGTGGGGTTGGCTACTGGACCCCGGAGGGAGATCTCGTGTTCGAAACCGCTACCGACGACGATCCATCGGGGAGATTCCAGGGGAACAACGATGGATACGACGACGACGATGCGGATTCCAATTGCGAGGACCACGGAGCCAACGATTATCCCGAGCACGATGCCGACGAATTCGACCTGCAACACCAACACGGCTACRACGATTACCGTGGGTACCACCCAAGCAACAACCTGGATCGCGAAGACGCGGAAAGCAACGGTAATTACGGTGGTACGCCGGATGGRTATGGCAGATACGGATGGGACCATGGCTATCACAACCCTGGCGACCACGACGAATACGACGACGGCTACGGCGAATGCGAATACGAATACGACTGGGAACAAGATTTGCACTAACGAACGGTTGATGCAAACCAACGAACTAAGTTTACAGCCTCGCCACGTGGTGCCGCACAAGCAACMATYGCGTCGGCATACCTCGCCATGCTTTTCCAACAGTAAAAYGTTCTTGYGCCCACCAATTGTCGTCTCGGGTTCTTGTTCGGAAACACCAATCTTCTGATTTTATTCTTGCTCTCCCGGCAGCTGTTCCGTCGGGAATGTAGTCTGCACCGAGAACAAAACAACCCCGGCTTTGTCCCTCCAATACTGCCAAACAACTTTGAATGCTGCAGCACTAGTAGTACTAGTAGTAGTAGTAGTAGTAGTGCTTTAAGAAAACGCAATGTCATATTTACCCTAGTAAACAAGAAGGAGGGGGGAGACTGCTCCCAGAACCCCCAAGGGGTGGAACTTGGAAAGGAGCTCATCCAAGCCAATAGTAATGGTGGTGATGTACACCAGGAATTGTGCTAGATCTGGTCCGGGAGGGAGAAGTACGAGTAATCAGCAGTGGGGGTCCTGGCACCTAGTTGTAGCTCCTTTTGTGYTGTTGCTTCTTCTTGGAGTAAGCATCATAAACTACTAGTACTAGCATGTTGGTTGTGGCACACTCCAGAGATTGTTTTCGGCATGGAGCAATGGGGTAGGTGTTGGCAGTGGGAGTGATAGCTTGAGTGTTTTTGTAGATAAAGCTTTTCCTATACCCTGGTATAGTAGTAGGACAGGGTTGTTGWCCTGGAGAAAGGGGGAGGAGAACTTGGCAAGTTGCCCATTCAGGAGCACAATGGAYAGATCTTTCACTATCTTTGTTGGGACAATAGCTAGTAGCTCACCAGTGCTGGATGATCCAGACAATCAGTTTGCAAGAAAGTATGCCATCCTGCAAGGTATGGTTTTAAAAGAGAGTTCTGTYGTGCTGGGTGTCTTGAAGCTCCAACAGCATCTGTTTGTCAAAGAGTGGTTTGTGAATGCTGATACCTTCTCTTTTTATCAGCTATTCCTTCCTATTGCAACAGATTTCAATGAGGCCCAACAGTAGCTCCAGATAGAACCAGAGAAGAGATTGACTTATTGCAACAAAGCACTACTAAAAAGGAAAAGATTAATTAGTACCAATATCTAGTACTACCATATCTCTGAAGGAGGGAATATATGGGCAGGGCAGTAGGTACTTCTAATACCAACCCCCTTACAAGAAGCACTACTAAATCTGAACAMACCACTTGTTGCTATACGGTATGCAATGTACCTTCTTATTGTTATCAACAAGACCAGCAACAACCTGTCACTTGTACTAGTACTAGTAGTACAATGACAGGTGTGTTTTGTACTACTAGGAATTATCTCTAAATCTTGATGCAGTAGTATTAGTGCTCAATAATGACTATCAAAACAACTGAATGTTCATGTAAGGTTTGATAGGTAGCTAGAAATTTATCTGATACTAGTACTACAGCAGGGCGGGACATTGCTGCAGACATATACAGCAGCAACCAACTTCAAGAACTTGTTGTGATTTATGGGGACCTGTGAGCTAGATGAAACTGGTCCATGATTTTCATTCTTGGATTCCAGCAGACGAGATTTAGACTTTGTGTCAAGGGTGAATTGTGTGTTGACAGAAAGTCTAAAAATTCAGACTAGATGGTCCATTTTTGGTCTGCCTGTCAGTCAAAAAGTAGACCATCTAGTAGATCAACGGGAATGACCCAATATTGGCTGTGAAGATGGCTTATTTATTKATGACTTCCACGGTACAGTACGAAGGTGGAGGGAACTCTACTGGAATGTCATCTCATAGGATACAGCGTAACTGGTATCGTAATGGCGAGGAAGGTGGCGGGATATTCAGGCAAAAACCGAAGTTCGCCTTCAATAGTAGCAAGGTCTTCTATCAGAAACAAATTGGTCAAAACGGACTTCCAAGAATGAATTTGTAGTAGTAATAGTAGTAGTAATATCATTGCCATCYTTTGCTGACGCACCGGTAGGAATAGTTGCCAGATCGGTGGTATTCTGAAACCAGTGGGATAGCAACACGATCGACAACGGTAGGCGGTGGGCGGTAATCTGATCCCGGAAACGGAGGTGCCATTTATATTCCCTATACGAATCACACCCTTTCCATAGACGGCTGCGGCAACACAGCAACAGCAACAACATGTTCGTGCTRCCGAAACTTGACTTCCCTCAAAAAATCGCCCTTGGCCTCCTGGTTCTGGGCTGCCTCATGGTGTGGACCAATCTTGTAATGGAGCAACAATTATTAGTTCTTCGTTATCCTKGCCACATCGCTGGCCACCGTCCCGATGGTTATCAGAGCTCGACAACCGCGACACTGGCAGATCTACTCCTAGCCARTGATGCCAAAGGAGCAAAGATCAACACCAATGTTATCACAAAGACAAGCGGTGGTGTTGCTGTTCGTAGCATGCCCGGTGGAAGAGAGAACAATCACCTAAACAAAGAGAACAACAACGACGACGAYCATCAAAGATTGTACACTTGTTCCTATGGACCGGATGGTTCAGAGAAAAACCAAGCAAACCGCACAAACGTGACGATTCCGATCCACACGCCTTCCTTTGTTCTTATCGGTGTCCAAAAGTCGGGCAGCACGGCAATGCTCACATATTTTCGAGACCATCCGCAGATCCTCCAGACCAAGCGCCGCTTTCGGCGGGARGGACACTTTTTCGATACCAGCTGGCAGTCGRGGGTTTTGAAGAAGGCGTCCGAACTGGGACTCAAACAGGCCAACGACAAACACTGTCTTGCGCTGGAACTCTACATGGAATTGTTTGACACCGGTACCATATTGGCCAATTCCCAGACACACAGTCATGGCCTCGAACATCAACATATCTTTACCTTTGAAAAAACCATGACGTACGTTCTGAATCCAAAAATCCCTGCTCGTATCAAGCACACAGTTCCCTGGTCGAAGCTCGTGTTGGTCCTCCGAAACCCCGTGGATCGCCTCTACAGCCACTATAAGATGACGATCCTCAACAACCATGCGATGCGAAAGTACTCGCTGGAGGATATGGTGGTCCACGAACTCGAAGCCATGAGGGATAAATTTCACATGACGAAGGCCCCCCTGCCAATTGCGCGTAGAGGAAACGCCACCAACACCACAACCTTGGCAAACGAGTCCTACGAAATGCCGGGGTCGGTGCCTTCCGACCATGCTATCCCTCCCGACAAATGGACCCCGAGGGAGATGGCGATTCTCAAAAAAACCGATCGCGGACCCCTCGGGAAAGAAAACATTGTCCGCCGAGGCTTGTACAGCACCCAGCTCGAGTGGTGGCTGAAACACTACACGGTTGGCGAGGATCTCTTGGTGATCAATTATGCCGACCTGTTGGAGGACACGAAGGCGGTCTACGAGCGAATCCTAATGTTTGTGGGTATTCCTCTGCCCAACAACTACCAACGCAACGACGGCAACAACTATACAACTACAAACAGCACCGCTACCGTGATCAACTTTGACCAAAAAGTCCGTGCCGACAGAAGAAAGGACGACCGCCCCCTCAGAGAGGACACCCGCCGGTACCTTGCGGACTTTTACCGCCCTTACAATGCTCAATTGGAACAATTACTGGGACCAGATTGGAGCCTAGACAAGCTGGGGTGGGGTTGATGCGCGGATCCAATGGGTTAGGACAAACAATTGCTTGCCGTGGACTGGATTAGATGGGCGATATCGTAAGAACATCTGAAGTTGTTTGTGTGTAAACAACCTGTACTGGAATCCTAGCTATACCCGACCCCAGCTGTTGTTGACCATTGGTTTCTAACTGACGTTGCTCGAGCACTTTTACATCGTAACCGAATGCCGGACATACCATAAACGCGAGATGAGTTTGTGTCAGAAGTCAAAAGTATAGTCTTAACCCCCAACAGGGAATTTAAAATTACCGAAACAAAACAAAAGAGCACAAAATTGTTCGCTACGTGTAGTTTAGACGTTGTGTTTCAAAATTGACACACATCGCTTTGAAAACAAGAGTTTTTCGGCCTCACTCCTTTGGAAATCGTGGTCGTCGCCGTCGTCGCCRTCTTTTGCGGTTCCGTGGTCTTGTCGTTTATTTTCGTTCTCCTGCTTTTGTTCTTGTTGATGATGATGGTTTTGCTTTTGTTGGGAGTTGTGGATCTCCACAAAAAAGTCCACTAGGGGCTTCAGTTGGTGAACGGCAATTGGAACCTCCACGGTGCTCTCTTCCAGATCTCGAATTGGAACACCCCGGCCAGTGGTTTGCTGCCGGGACCGAACCCGCTCGTAGATTTCTTCTTGCGGGGCAGTTACGTACAAGATCCCGATCCGAAGTGCTGGAGACACTCCCGTGTTTCCCATCGTTTGTGTTTGCGTTCGAACTTGTGTCTGCTGGTGTCGCGCCCTGAGCCTTGCAAAGTATTCCGTGTGCCAGGCCGCATCCCGGAGGCTCCCGTCGACCAGGACGCTTAAACCCCTCGAAAGGGCAGCGTCCGTCAGGAGTTCCGCCATCATTCCCGCTTCTTTCTGTGTTGCGGCTCCCACCACCTGGGCTCCGTATCCTTCAAACTCGGGAAGCTTCCGTCGGATAAGGTCGGGATCCACCACAACAAAGTTGTTGTTGTGGAACTCCTCGGATTGAATATTCTTGTTCTGTGTTGGTGGTTCCACCGACGCATTTGGATTGGAGGGTTCGTGGTCGCGATTAGTCCCGGGCCCAGGAAAGCACCCGTGGGACTGGAGTTTTCGGATGGTGTGGCTTTTTCCGGCCCCGTAGACACCGGCGGTGAACACAATCCATTGCGGTGGACGGGGATCGCGGCCAACAAGTGTGTTCTCCCTGTATTCTTCTTGTGGCTTTGTCGTGCAATCAGTGTCTGTTGTAGCAGCAGTTCCAATAGCAACAGGACTTGTTGAGCCACTCCGAGAAAGGGTGCGATCCACCATGGACGGTGCCAAATGCAGCATAGAAGCAACGATTGAATCTTGAAAGGCCTGTCGTTCAGGGACGTAGATCGCGTGGTAGGAGAGATCCAAACGGTTCCGCTGCTCGAAAAACTGGCCAAAATAACACGGAGCGTTGGTGCTATTTCCGGGGTTTTGTTGATTGTGATTAGTGTCCTCGGTTTGGCCACCTTTGATATCGTAGTTTTCTTCAGTAGATCGTTGCCAATCGTAATGGTCTGGAACAACGAACGACTTCGAATTCGCAGCATCTAAATTGGAAAGGTCGTTGTCATTTGTTGTTTCGACTTCGCTAGACTGTGATATTTCGTTTCCGTTGTTGGTTTCACCAGGTTTTGAAGGGTGGCGATAGTTCTTTGCATCGCCTGCAGATGTTGTGGGCCCCACGATGGGATTTGCTGTGTTGGCAACCGGTAGATTACTACTAGTAGTATTTGCAACAGCAACATTCGACTGGTGGTACCGGTGGAGTGCAGCAGCAACAGTTGATGTTGTTGTTTTTGGTGCCGTTCTATACGTCGTCACYGTCTGTTCGGAAAGTGCGCTCTTCATACTGCTRCTGCTATTTGTGGTATCGGTACCGAAACTGTTTGCAGTCTGCGCAGCACTATAGTTGTTGTTCGTCTGGTGATGGGCGACCCAAACTAGACCCAGGTGGATCACGACGAAGACTGCGACGAASAGGGTACACAGAATTCGAAGTTTCCGGTCTGCCCGAGATGGGCAGAGCGAAGGAACCAGTGTCATCAGCGCCACACTTGTTTGCAAAACTAATCAAGAAGKAGTAAGAAATGTCTTCGGGGTGTTCTCCCTATCGCTTCTATATTGCAATCTTACATTACGTGTAGGGGTTCCAGGCAAGGTTGACTTCCGTAAGACCCGAGGCAACATGAATGTACGATATCGGCCGTTTGTGAAGAGTAACCGGAACTTGTTATCACCGACGCGGTAGTATTGGCATTTTGGGCGTCAGGGCATTCCTTTCTATCTGATTTTATCGTTACTTYGTGCCARAAGTTTAATGGTTGTCGATTCTACTCTATAGTTTTCCCTTCAGTTCCCAAACGTTACTGCTACCATCACGAGCCGATGCTTCCGTCCCACGTTCAACACAGGATATGCGCCAAAAGTATCCGAAGGGGCACTGTATCGCTCTTCAAAACAGTTAGTGCAATTCTGGCACCGTCAGAGATAATCAGAGCAGAAATGCTTTTTCTTTTTCGAAATCGGAAGCTGGTACGTACCGTAATCTACTATCTAGTAGGGTCCTAGAATACATACGTCTTGTTTAGCAGTTCGTACAAAACTGACTAACGAACCCATTGCTTCGTKCTTTTTCGACGTAAAAACCTGCGTAATACTCCAGCAGCAGGGTTCTAGAAGTGCGATTACGTAAAACTACAAGTATGTACGTACTACCCCCGTAGTGATGAATTATGAAAAGAAGAAGAATCCATCAATCAATCAAAGACAGACATCGAGTCTAGGTATGCGAATACGAATACTAGTACGAAACTCGTATCCGGCACGTACGATACCTCGAATGTCGAACCACATCATCGGCTTGATGTATACACAAAATTCTGATGGGTGAGACAAAGCGAAAGAAAATACAGTAACGAACAGCTGTCCCACAGACTCTACGTACCAAGTGCGAATAGCGAATAAGAATCCTGCCCTGGTCTGCCCAAAGGGTCATAAATTTAGGACCCCTGGTCTGCCCTGTGTCCTGTGTCAGCAATCCCGATATATTTTAAATAGGTATGTATCATAAGATASCCATCGTATAAATATTTACTCTGCACGCGCATYTGCAACCATGAAAACCGTTAGAAATCGCATATGGCATGCTAGGTTAAGCGACGGTTTGCAAAAAATACCGAACTCCTTTACTGAACTGAAAGATACTACGAATAGTACCATTACGGACTACAAAAAGAAAATCATCTTCTGGACATAGTGAAGCAACGTTGCGACCTGAGCATCCACCACAKGATCAATCCTGACACTGTTCGCTATAGCTTTTTTCGACAAATATTGCGTTGGGTTTGGTGCGACCAACTTTAATCAGGATCGAATTGGATTGAATTGAAGCGAAGCGAAGCAAAAGCATCATACGCAACAGCAATTACAGCAATGCCTCTCAGTCGCAATCATTCACAGAATGCAGGTCCCACSATCGCAATCGCGGCAATAGGATTCGCGCTTCTATTTTTCAACACCCAAATGCCAAGACGAACGTTTCGGAATGTCGTGTCGCAAACAGCATTCGAATACGAATACGCCGACATCAATTCGCACGGCGAGAGCAATGGATACGACAACGAACGCAGTAATGGTCTCCCATACCGTCACGACAACCAGCACGATTACGACTCGGGAGGAAATAKAACTTCTAACAGTTTCAGTACTAACACTAGTAGTGCCAACAGAGTCGTCTCCATCTCGAGCAGCAGACCAGASAATAACGATGCTATTGTAGATACAACTACGAGCAACAGTACGAATCGTCGCAGCTCGCCCGTGAAAAATGATAATGCCACTTCTACGACCACCAAAAACAGAAGAGGAGAATTTCTATCTACTATTGTAAACACTTCCTCGCTGGAGATCCACGACAGTATTGGGAATTCTACGTATTTGAGTGAACCCCCCTCCAGAAACGATGCCAACGGTTCCAGCACCGATCTCAAATTTACAGTAGACAATRAAGATTCGAAACGAATACCGATTAAGAATGGATATGCAGCAACAGAGCACACAAGTGCAAGCAAAACAAAAAACGAATTAGCGTCTCAATTAAAAAATACGACAATAGAGAGCAATTTTGCGACGACGTCGWCGWYGACGACGACGACGACAAGTGCAATCATAAACTGGACAACTTGGASAAACGCAACGGAAATGGAAGACGGAAACATTCAGATCGAATTTTTCCGTCCGCGGTCAAATAGTACTGAAACAAACGCATCAATTGCATCGCGACAAGGAATGGCGGCTTGTCTAATCAATCTCGAGGACACCATCCGGTTGGCGGAATGGATCCCTTACCACTTTGCCACTCTTCCGCTAACGGGTCTGGTGATCGCCCTAGATCCCAAAACCTCACAGCGTGGTGCTCGCCGCACACTAGAGCTCATCAATCTTTGGAGGGATAAAATCGAAATTACACTCTGGCCGGACTACAAGTTTGCAGAATCKAAGCGGTTTCGAACAGGGCAGTCCTACGTACGGGAGCGGCAGGTATATTTTGCTAATCGGTGTCTGTCCTATCACAAGATTCAGAATCGATCCTGGACGCTCTTGACAGACAATGACGAGTACCTTGTCTTCAACTACATTCACGACGACGAGATCATCAAGTACGACCATCCGGGCTCTAAGAAAGGAAAAGTCAAGAAAGTCATCGACAAAAACCGGAAGCGCTACATGCCACTTCGATCAAGCCTACCGCCACAAAACCAGTCCACGGTGCATGCATTTCTCGAACAACTCCAGCGCGATTACGATTACAATACTACTTTGAACGACACGAAGAAAAAGAAGAAGGGAAAAGATTTCCTTCCCCGCTGTGTCCGGTTCCCAGGAATCCACTACGGAGGGAATAGAGGACTGCTGCGAGACCACCAATCCCCCGCGGCGTTCAATAGCAAAAATGTCGGTGATGCCACAATCATCGATCCCKCCCTCCTTTCGACATATCGGGACGTACACCACGACAAGCGGAAAAGCAAGTTTAGCAAGGTTATGATCGACGTGAGTCGGGTTTCCTTGGAAACCTTCGAGTGGACCCCTAAAAACGCCAGGAACGCRAAGACCATTCACAACCCCTCGAGGGTTTGTGGATACAACGGCAGCCACGACTCTGGAGCGGACTATTACTCATCRCTCTTTCGGTTGAACCACTACCTGGGTAGCCTGGAGTCCTTTATGGAGCGCAGCGCCGACTACCGAAAGAAGCGAACCAACGAGGGCTACGCCAAGAAGGCCGCCAAGGTGAATACCACAGAACACGGAGACTGGTGGGATCGAGACGTCGGGTTGTGGGTCGACCTCCTCGTCCAGCGGCTTGGGGGAGGCGCTGTAGAAGCGAAACGGTTGTTGGCACCCATCGCGAAGTACACGAACGCAACTATGGCGCTTGGCACGAACCACAGTTATCATACCGTGTAGARGTCAAATAATGCAATCGAATRCAAGATAGTTATATGCTTAGATAGATATTGGTGTGTCTGTCGCTTTCGTTTTATAAATGCTGTGTCGGTGATTCAGCCGTTCTCGCTTGTACTATTTTCTGGGTGCAGTTTCGGCCATGGTTGTCTGGATGGTACTGTGTGGTAKATATCCATCTGTTCTTTCATCTGATCATTGTAGAAGAATCGAAGCAAGGAACAAAGCAAAACAAGGGGCAGTAATGTAACGTAATACAAAGCATTGCATTGCATTGCATTGGACTGCTTGCTGCCAATGTAGTATCTGAGCAAAGGGCGGAGTGGTCTTTTGGTCGTGGTCTATCCGTGATGGTTGCTGGCAAGTTGTAACTTACAGGGATCATCTATGGTTTGTTTTTTCGTATGTTTCTTTGCATGATTTTTTTTACACGTTAGGCTACAGAGTTGTTGTTGTTGTTGTTGTTGTTGTTGTTGTTGTTGTTGTTGTTATTGTTATTGTTATTGTTGCAGTTGTTGTTATAGGATGAATTGAACCGTTCGTTCCTTCAATGCCTCCTCGAGAAAGATGACCCGTGTATCCAAAGCCAAGCATGTTTGTGGAAGGGATGTAGGCGAAGACCGTTTGGAAAAGGTCGGAAGTAGTTGTGTTTTGCGTCCACGGCTTGGGTTTCGCCGCCGCCGTCCTCGTCCTCGTCGTCGGCATCGGAAGAACTCGCGAACGAAGCAACCGTTTCRTGGTACGCCGAATGAACGACCTTTTCGTGGTACAAAACAGCCCCGTGGCCGCCCCCGTTGTCGCGGTGAAACGATGCAGCCAGGCGCTCTGGGCGGCCGCCACCCACGCCACCGATGGCGCAAGCTAGCAGGAGGGCAAGGTGGCGGCGCTTGTGCTGGAGGGCAATCGCGACGGCGGGGCCCCGTCGTCGTTTGGATCCTTGGTTTCGGTTTTGTTTGGGAACTCGGCGATTTCCTGTCGTCCGGTGGTCGCCGGCAAGCACCCTCCGCAACCACCGCCGAAATGGTTTGTCTCCGTGGTGAGGGGCTCGWGGTGCCGGCATCGAAAATACGAGGTACATTATTCTCRTTAGCATCGTGACTAGTTGGTGCAACCCAAATCGCTGTACAGTGGTCCGACCTTGGCCGGTGCAAACGGTTGTTTTTGGGTCGGATACACGTCCATGGGATGCCAATAGAGCGGATCTGAGCTGATCGGGCAGCGATGAAACCTGGGAGAAGCATGGCGATCGTTTCACCGACGAAAAATGCAGTGTGCGATCGGTGTTGTCTGCGTTTGTGTATGAAATTGCACTTGTATTTGTATTTGCGTTTGCGTTTGCGTTTGCGTTTGCGTTTGCGATCGTATTCACCAAGAATGGCTCTGTTCTCGTTCGTTTTCTCCCTCCCAACGGATATACCAGTGCGTCTGCTACTCCTGTCGTTGGACGACTGCCGATACTGCTGAACAGCACAATATATGTCAATCCGCGTTGGCTTCCATCCGCGGATTCGCCGAGGTTTCTTCCTCCAACGGTTGCAATGGCAATGGCAATGGCAATGGCAATGGAAATCGCAATCGCCATCGTGATCGATGCCGTTGCCACTGGGGCCGCCCCCGCCCGGAAGAGGAGCTTCATCCAACCACCGAATTCGCTGGGCCTACCAGAACGAAAGCAAGCCGCTTCAAAATTGGTGCCGGTCTCCCTGTGCGTATGACTTTGGAAGTTCGGAGGTGCCGTCGACGAGCACTTGCAATCCCAATGTGGATACAGAACAAGGCGCACTGGCRCACTGCAAGCCTACCGAACGACTTGCTGTGGTATTGTGGGCTACAGATGTCGAGCAATTGCCATTCTGAAGTAATGGCAGCAAATACGTTGAAACGATTTTCGTTTTTCGAAGCAACCTATCGTGCGTACGTACCGGTACACCGAGGGGCCATAAACTAAGGAGGGAAGCGCATCGCGTCAAAATCTCATTTTGCATCGTTGGCTGGCAGTTAGTGTGAGCAGTAACACGTAAAATTTCACTGTTTGAATTTTTTTTATTCCTACCACTACTACTACTTCTTGCTTCATAATTCTCCTACTACTTGTAGAACTATCCGTCTAGTAATCTAGTAAGGAGTCGTAGTAGATTTGTCAGAAATTGGTTGGCTAACTTAGGCACTTACT